AAAAACATACGATATAACAGCGAACGAGGGGAGGAGGGTGGCGCAAAAAGGGGTAGAACTGCTTATTTATCGTGTAACCCCAATTTCATCGTATCGAGCTATGAATTCCATGCGTTGAATCCTCCCTGTTATGCATTATGTATCCTGGGAATGTGTAAACTCGGCCGAATAGAATTGGCCGCATTTATTGCGATTTAACACGTTGCCTTGAATAAAACATGCCCTTCTAACGATCGTCGGTATTTTCTTTTCTTTTTTTTTTCCTTGTCTCTCTCTCTCTCTCTCTTGTAATTCCTTCCTACGAATTATCACCAGGATACTTTTTTTTCCTTTCTTTCTTTTTATAGACAGTATTTTCTCTTCATAATCCAGATACCTTTTAAGAAATATTTTTTCGAGTTGTGTAATCGAGAATTTTCGATCTGCAAAGCGAATATCTTTCTTGTAATATATTTTGTACATGTAATAATAATAATTTTTTCTTCAAATTTTTCCCTTTCTTATGAAAAATACCCAGATATGTGATTTCGAAAATGAATATATATATATAGAATTTGAATTTTGTCGGATATTTTGATCACGAAAACACACTTCTACTTCCACTTAAAATTATTTAAACTCGATGAAGAATCTTTTTCTCGTTAAAAAAAAAAAAAAAAAAAAAAAGAAACCAGCCACGTCGTCCCGCAAATTTCCAAAAACTTGCGAGAGTATTTCAACCTCCGAGTCTCGTAATATATTCAATCCGGGGCAAATGCAACGCTAGAGATACGTCTCGAAAAGCCGATGGAGGGGGCGAGGGGGCGAGGTTCGTTTCCCATTTACGGCTCCACCCACCAGCGACTTTATCCGTCGTCGTTTCGCGTCGATTAGAGTCATTCACATTCTCGTGGGAGGACGCGAGGGTAATGCGGCCCACGTGTTAGCCTCGCCTTCTCTATGAGAGGGGAATAATAGTGGTTGGCGCAAGGAAAGAAAGAAAGAAGGAAGGAAGGAAAGAAAGAAAGAAAGAAAGAAAGACGCTTTGGTGATTCGATGCCTTGAAGAAAATTAACCAGGAGTTGCGTGATCCCTTCTTCTTTGAACATTCGAGATTCTTCTTTCCTTTCCTTCTTCTTTGTAAATAAGTGTGTTATTGACTTCGTTGGAAAGAGGAGTATTGTAAATTAATTCGTAGGAATTAAGGAAGTATTGTTATTTGTAGTGTGGGCAGTCTTCCATCCAGATTGTAAACCGTGTAAAGTTATAGAAATATATTTTCTGTGAGTTAAGGTGAAATGTGTTATAATACGTGTATATAGTGGATTATTTGTGCGTAAACATTATTCTAATGTGTGTTTATGTTCAATGTGCTTATTCGAGGGATTAAAGTGGATATATATCAGGATTGTTGAAACACAATATTTTCTTACAATATAAATACGTAATAATGTCAATATTGCGTTACAGTTATTATTTTGAAACGTATTAATGCTCGTGAATATTGGTTCTCGAAAATTATTTTTCATACACGACACCATTAATCGATAATTGGATTTATGTATTTTGGTAAAAAACAATATTACGAGCAAAATAGAGACGTATCGAAAATCGATACGACACTCAAAATCTAAACTGTTACGCATGGATCGAATATTAGTGTATATTAAACGTTACGCGAGAATTTCACGTATGAAAAATTTTGTAATTATCGAGCAATAATAGAATTCAAATCAAATTGTTAATAGTTTCGCATCAAAAATTAATAATAAAATATATAACCTGAAAAAGGAAATAAAATATTCTAAAAATAAAAAAATAAAATTAATAATTTAATAATTGTATAAATAGATAAATAAATAAATGTATAAAAACCTTGTAGTACAAATAGAAAAATAGTATAGTTCGAATCACAACAAAAATACATATACAAAAAGATAGAACAAATATAAAACTTAAAGAATTTCTTTAAACAAATTTTCAAATTGTTAATAGTTTTGCATCAAAAATTAATAAAATATATAACCTGGAAAAAGAATTAAAATATTTTAAAAATAAAAAAATAAAATTAATAATTTAATAATTGTATAAATAGATGAATGTATAAGTCTTTTTAATACAAATAGAAAAATTCGCTTAAAGAATTTTTTTAAACAAATTTTCAAATTGCTAATATTTTCAAGCGTACGAATTATATTTTTCCGTAAATTAAATTGTACTACTATCATCTAATTTCCTTTTCCTCCTATCGATATTCATCTTAATATTGCGAGTAGTGCCATCTCTGATTTTACGTATCTTCCAAAAGCCCAAGATCGAGCCAAATGTAAAATGAAACGGTACACAGCGGCGCTTTGTTAAATTCCGTTCGTGTTCTGTTGGTCGAGTTTGATGATTCTAACAATAAGACCGATCGATTCTGTATTTGAAATTCTGACCGTGATTTCTACCTACTATTGTACTTATACATTTTATAAAATTTCAAACTTTATCTTTCCTCGTTACGTAACGTTTTGTTCACACTCTTAACGTGATATTTTTCTGAAAATAGGATAAAGTCACTCTCTTATAGAGGGATGAATAGTAAGTTGGAAGTAAACTTTTTGGTAAAATACACAAGATGTATACTGAATGCGAAATGCTGGGTTTGTGGTTGATTGTATAAGATCCCTCGAAATCCTAAGATTTATACCAGAACACTTGCTATTAAGGCATGCAAACGATCGAGATTAAGAAGCTAAGAATATTCGTTCATCCTCTAAATTATATTGTGTTATTTATGTAATTTTGGGATCCGGATGAAGGTAGAAGAAAATGGTACGATTAAACTTTGAATTTTTATGCAAATACATACCTTTTTTTTTTTTTTTTCATAAATATATTCGTATGAACACGTTACATTTGTTGAATTTGTTACGTATTTTTCTTCCAATATTAATTTTATTCGCGTGATAATTGAATTTAACCGAAAATAAGTTTAATCATATTCTGAATACAATTTTAGATTACAATTATATTGAAAGTTGGAAAAAATCTGAACAATTTATATTATTAAAAAGCAGCAAAAAGCACAACAAATTATATAAAAAATTACAATGAAACTTTTGTATAACGTTCCAATTTTATATAGATAAATCTCTAATAAAATTATTCACATTTTGCAAACATATTATATTAACATATATTTTAAATAACACGTATATATATATAATAACTTCTCTCAACAACTTTAATAAATACAAATTTATTAAAAAAAATTCTTTCACACTTCTCAAATCAATATCGATAAACTTATTCATATTTCCACGTGACTGGAATTTCATT